AGGAGGAGTGCCAGCAGTGGAAGTAGGTCTACCTGTGTACCAGGAGGAGTGCCGACAGTGGAAGCAGGTCTACCTGTGCACCAGGAGGAGTGCCGACAGTGGAAGCAGGTCTACCTGTGCACCAGGAGGAGTGCCGACAGTGGAAGCAGGTCTACCTGTGCACCAGGAGGAGTGCCGACAGTGGAAGCAGGTCTACCTGTGCACCAGGAGGAGTGCCAGCAGTGGAAGCAGGTCTACCTGTGCACCAGGAGGAGTGCCGACAGTGGAAGCAGGTCTACCTGTGCACCAGGAGGAGTGCCAGCAGTGGAAGCAGGTCTACCTGTGCACCAGGAGGAGTGCCGACAGTGGAAGCAGGTCTACCTGTGCACCAGGAGGAGTGCCGACAGTGGAAGCAGGTCTACCTGTGCACCAGGAGGAGTGCCAGCAGTGGAAGCAGGTCTACCTGTGCACCAGGAGGAGTGCCGACAGTGGAAGCAGGTCTACCTGTGCACCAGGAGGAGTGCCGACAGTGGAAGCAGGTCTACCTGTGCACCAGGAGGAGTGCCAGCAGTGGAAGCAGGTCTACCTGTGCACCAGGAGGAGTGCCAGCAGTGGAAGCAGGTCTACCTGTGCACCAGGAGGAGTGCCAGCAGTGGAAGCAGGTCTACCTGTGCACCAGGAGGAGTGCCGACAGTGGAAGCAGGTCTACCTGTGCACCAGGAGGAGTGCCGACAGTGGAAGCAGGTCTACCTGTGCACCAGGAGGAGCGCCGAAGCAGGGATGTGAAGCTGGAGGCTGCTGAGTGGCAATAGTCCAGGTAAGAGGGATTTCTCTGGTGGTCCAATGGCTTAGACTCTGTGCTCCCAATGCAGCGGGCTGGGGTTTGACCCCTGATCAGGGAACTAGATCCCACATGCCACAACTAAGAGTCTGCAAACTGCAGCTTAGACCCAGTGCAGTCAAATGAATAGATTTAAAAAATAATCCAGGTAAGAAACGATGAGCCAAACCACAGGGCAGTCCTGGTGACAGAGAACAGTGACAAATGCCAAATATATTTGGAGGCAAAATCGAAGTTTGCTACGAGACAAACAGGCATCCAGGTCTCTGAAGTTAGGTGCCATTTAATGGAGTAGGGTCCAAGGACAAAGTTGTTCTTTGTCCTTGTTCAAAGTTCTCCTTTGACCATTAGACTAGAGATGGGCTGTAGGACATTTACCTGAAAAGATCAAGTAGGCAGATGGAGCGAGGTGTTTGGAGCCCACGGGAGAGGTCTCAGGTAGAGACACACATTTGAGAGTCAATATTCTGCACAATTCCTGGCAGACCACCCAGGTAACCGCTTGGTAATTAATAAATGCTCAGGAGGTGACTGGTTGACAATTGACAGAAAGGGGAAGTGAAATTTTGCATCCTGGAAGATGTTTTGAGTCTCCTGGCATGGAACACTCACAATTATGCTGGTAGAGAAGGCCAGGTACTGGGCTGCTCAATAAATATTAATTTACTGCAATAAATCTCAAGAAAGCAATGGAGTGTGATTTCAGAAACTAACCCTACCCGACCCAATCGGTGCCACAGCTGTCGTTCAGCTTGTATTCTGTCCCTCATCCTCAGTGTCTTTTTACCTCGAAGCTTAATCCCTGGCCCAGGCACCTTGCTTTGTTCTTGATCACTGCCTTTCTTGCCTTCACATCCAGCAAATACTGTCCTTGCTCTATGTCCCTAATGACTCTCTTGCTCTTCACAGATTTGTGAATCTGCCAGGAGTCAACACCGAGTATGCTTGATGCACAGATCCCACGTATAACACCCTGCAAAGTGGCTGTTTGCCCTGGGGGTAGACCTTGATCCCTCGGAGAGAGTAGGTGCTTGGCTCTAACTCAAGTAGCTGGAAAGTGGTAGAACAAGGATTGCAGACAAGTTCAAGTGACTCTGCAGCCAGGCTCCCCTTCCTGGGTTTGCAAAGCTCATCGGCTTTCACCTGCTGAATCAGTCTGTACCCTTGATCTGCTCCTTCTCAACAAAGTCCACTAGGTGGTCACCAAGTGGTCATCGAGAGCCACCAAGCATGAAAGTCAGGTAGGCCTGTGTCTGTACCCTTGAACAAGAGTGTTCCATGACTTGGTAACTGCAGACTCACTTGGTGCTCTAACGTGGAATTTATTGCATTCATTCAATGGGAGGACCCAGACCTGAGAGAAACCCACAGCCTGGGAGGTTATTAGTCATCAGAGAAACAAAAGAGATGGAGTGTGTTGGAGCAACACAGCTGGGGTGACTTGCCAGGGACAAGGTGGCTGACAGGAGCAGGGTTTTCAAAAGAAACAGCTTTTATGGCTTTATGTAAATGTGTTAATAAGGCTTCAGTCTCTCTGGCCACACACTCAAGCTAAAAGGCTGTCTTCATTAGGCACGTCCCCTGAGCACACAGGTGTACTGCAAGGCACAGAGCGGTCTGCTCAGGCATCCTCTGCAGCAGAAGCAATGGTTTCACCAGCATCCAAGAGGGGCCTTCACTCGGAGGAGGCCAAGTCCTGGGAGACTGAGCAGTGTGTGCAGGAATTATTTGCACGGAAGGACAAAGGGCCCTGAAGCTACGCTGGCGCTCATCTCAGCAGCACCTGTTGCTCCAGCACACTTGGCCCTTTATTGCCCAACACCTGCCTGACTAGATGGGCCCCGTGCCCCCTGCTGAGGAAACAGAACCGATGAACGTCCATTTCGCGTTAGGTTTCCTGGCAGAAACGAGATATGGAATTCCTAGGGGCAGAGTTACCTAGGAATCCAGCATCCACCAGACATAACTTATTAATGAATCAGACTGATAAATGTCAAAAGGTGAAAAGCTTGATTTAGAAGAGAGAAGGAAGAAAACAGCTGCACGTGAGCCATATCCTTCAGTCATAGCAGATGGCGGTGGCTTGTGGCTGTGGCACACAGTTCTGCCATGCTAAGGCCTCTGAGGCACTCCCTTCCGATGCAAGTGTGACATTAAAGAGACAGGCAGTGGACCCTCGGCCCACTGGATGTCTGAAGAGTTTCAGCAGAACTCTGTGAAGAGCCTTCATGAAGCTAATCTGAATCCACCCATCTCCACTGCTAACATCCTACCTGGATGACAGGATGATGGACATGATTCCAAGATTTTGAGAAACAAAGAAGTGCTTGGACTCTTTCTTTCATTCTATTCTCTCTCTCTTTCTCTCTTTTACACCCCACTACACAGATAATATCTTAAATATACCTTTAATTATGTACAATTCATAAAACACTCAAGATACCAATAGCCAAGTTCTTTGCTGTATTCCCAACACCTAGATGAAAGTCAGAACAGAATAGGCTCCCTCTATATTATATATAATACACATATATAAAATAAATGAACAAATGAACATTTACTATCTCCTTGGGTTACAAATTCTGGTGCCAGACTTTGCCAGTGGACTTTTTATTAATAACTAGGAAGAGATTGTGGGCTTCCCCAGTGGCTCAGTGGGTAAAGAATCTGCCTACAATGCTGGAGACACAGGAGACTAGGGTTCAATCCCTGGGTCACAAAGATCTCCCAGAGGAGGGCATAGCAACCAATTCCAGTATTCTTGCCTGGAGAATTCCATGGACAGAGGAACCTGGCGGGCTACAGTCCAAAGGGTCACAAAGAGTCGGTGCAACTGACAGAGTGAGGAAGAGACTTCTGTTGAATTCTAATTTCACAAACATTCTTTTCATAGAGACATTTAAAGTTCTCTAACTCCCTATACATGGTTATATTTTTTTCTGATGGCAAAATACTAACTGTAAAGCAGGTTTGAAGGAATTTTTAATAACTTGTTTCTTAATGCCCACCCATAATACCCTAATTAAAACTTCTCATTAAAAATTTTGTTATTTATCCAAATCTTTTCTTATTTGGATATTATTGAAAAACCAAGGGACATCAGTCAGCAGTGTAAGTGACAGACAAGACCATACCACCAAATAAAGATCTGACCTCATTCTGAATTTTTCCTTTCAGATCAAATATTTTCTCCTCCCAAGTGATATTACTGGGATGAGAATGTTCACTCTGTTAAAATTCAGGCTACTTGATGAACTTCAGTGCCCTTCCACAGAAGTAAAATTTCCCATAGAAGCATTTATGAGACAGTAGTTAAATTGGCTCTGGTTGTGGGTACATATGTACCCATATGTCTTTGAGACAGATTCAAAACCAGATCTAGTCAGTCTGCCAGAAAGTCCTGATGTCAAGGATGAATCTCAAGGTTACTGGAATTAAAGAGTCTTTCCCCCTGATCAGGCAGATGTGATGCTTTAAAAGAAATCTGCTACTCTGTATTTAAGCAAAATCATACTAACAAAAACAAGCAAGGACCCATAGATCTTTGTTTGAAGGATTTGTCTGGCTATTAAAGCAACTGGTCAGCATAAAACCAGAAAACAGCCTTCATCTTGCCTTTCCAATCTTGCTGGCATCCCAGATGATAAGAGAACTGACAAGGTAAAGGCGGGCCAGGGAAAGCTCTATGGCTAGGAAGCATTTTTATGAGTCAATATATTTTTAAGCTTATCTCCAAGAATAAAAACCCAGTCACTCTTCTCAGGGATTTTTTTTTTTAATATGACAAAGCATAGAGGTTTGCTAAATATGCGTGTTGAGAGTCCAGATATTTATCATTCTCTGCATTTTCTCTGCTGGAAGCATTTTATAATAAAAGAGGCAATAAAAGTATCAAAACTGCAGGAGCAAAGAAAAAACAGAATACACATCTTGGGGAGTTTACAAAAAGATGCTTAATTTACTTCTGCAGTGGTAAAAAACGTAAGACTTCTGAGTACAAGTTAGTATTTTTCAAATAACACTTGATTTCAAAATATAGATTATTTAGATGCTAAATCTGATGACACTTAAACATTAATAGAAATCAACTCCCAGTAAATCTGAAGGCTCTCCCATATGAACACAGTGCTGACCATTCATCATATTTAACGAGGTGTATTGGAAATAGCTGAGTACTGACCTCCCCAGGACAAACGATCCTCTTGGGACGAGGGGCCTCTTGCTGTAACTGATACACTGCCAAACAGAAAAAGAGAGAATTATAATTAAAACCAGCACATACCAACATGGCTTCAAACAGCTCAACCTAACTACCTTTCAAGAACTGCAAACTTCTCAACCAAAAAACAAAGGAGATACCCATTTTTAGACAGAATAAAGTCAGATCATTTATATGGAAATGAGTCTCAATGAATATAAACTGGCAAAATTGATTTTTTAAAATTCTCATAAGGACAATTTAGTTTCATAATTGTTACTGGCATTGTTCATGTTATAGCTTTCTTGGAAGACTAGATAAGACTAAAATTCTTTTGACAATTTTAAAGATGAAATTCTACTTGTGAGTACCTAAGTAGTAAGATCACATAATAGGATCCCTCCATCTCAATGCTGATGAGAATACCAGGGAAAGAATGGCCTTAGAAGACAAATGGCATTCTCTGAAATGTTAGTTATGGACAAAGACACAATTGATTCTGTGAGTGAATGAGGCCCCAAGTCATTTCTTTCTTCATGAGTTCCATTTTTGCCCTGCCCATCACCATGGATTCTTAGCTCCTTGACTATTTTCCAGCTGTTGTCATTCCTTTTTCTTGGGCCCTTCAGTATCTTAAGTAATGACAACTCTCTTATATCCTGTATAAAAGACAGACTTTCCAGCTTGGGCATGGAGGAAAGCAGGTCATTGTATACAGAAATATAATTTATCAGACTATTATTTGTGATTTATCAGACTTTCTGATGAGTGGCTTTCTGCCACTTAACTAGTTTGGCTATTTTTCTTAAGAGGAAAAGCTACCCTGTGCATGTACCTTAAAGTTTTACTTTCATGGAAATGGGAGCTGAAAACAAACCTACTTGATGTTATCTTCAGAGTTGTGAAGACGGAATAATTAATGTTAAGTAAATCTATGAATTATATCATAAATACATCTATAAAAGGTTAAAAATTCAATTGTATAAAGTCTTTCTAGAAAATGTAATAAGAGAAGTGAAAATTCCTGGCTTACTCTTAGGTCTAAAAATAAAAAAAGAAATTTTAATTGAAAGGCAGATAGTCATGTGGAAACAGGTAGAAATGATGGAACTTATTTTGTATTGATGGCTCCCCAAAGCATTCAGCTCAAAATGGTTATTTTCTTACCTAATTAAGGGTAGACCACTCAGCTTCCTCACAGAGAAGAATCATCTAACTCTCATATAGATGTTTTTAATTCATCCCATTTCTAAGCTTATGTTGCCCATACTAATGATGGTGCCTGTGACACTTAAGAATAACTGTAGCTATGTATAAGGGACAGGTCAGAGAAGGCTTCTTGTGCGGGAGGAAACATGAGGAAGAATTGGGTAAAGATAAACAGCTTTGGACACTCTATTGACAATCCCAGTAGAGTCCACACTCTCCTTAAATCATGAAAGAGCCTTCATGGAATCCTTTATTCCTCTCAGATCAACCCCAACACCAACTAGCTGCTTTTCAGCAGGGTTTTGTTGTTAATGAGTGTAAAGGGAACCAAATGGGGCATCTCTTAGAATCACAGAGCTCACGAGCAATTATAGAACCCATGTCCAGAGAGTCCTATCTCCTCTTATCCACCTATCACCAGTGCCCTTTGAAGCCAGCAGTTATATATTGGGGACATGGCTGGAATGGTTTTGTGAACACCATTTTTAATGCCTCCCCTGAAGGTAGAAAAGGAAGTATAGCTGTTATAAGACAGAAGCATTTTTAGCTACGCATACCTTTGTAATTCATATCAGCAAACATTTGAACACTGGCTATAAAACAGATACCACAGTCAGCGCTACCTGGAGGCTTTGAGGATGAATGGAGGGGAAGGGAGAAGAGAAGGGAACCAGCATATCAAGTGCCTGTTACATGCCAGTAACAATGTCTTATTGAATCCTCTCAAGAGCTCAGAAGAAAGAACATATCATTATCATTGTCAGTTTTATATGAAGAAATAAGTGCCTAGAAGTGAAATATCTGCCCCAGGGCATCAAGCTAAAATGGATCCTTTTGACTCCAAAGCCCTGGTTTATTTTTCTGTGCCTCAGGGCCTTTGTACTTGCTACTTCCTCCACCTGGATTGCTTTTCCCAAGATGTTTAGATGGCTCCCTCCCCACTCCTTCATTCAGGTCTTCCCTGATTTGCTCAGCTTGGAATAAAATTCCACATCATCACTCCATTTGGCTCCTTTTTATACCATTTCATGTTTCTTCACTGTACTCATCACCATCAACACACTGTATCTGTTTATTTTGTGTGCTGTCTCCCTTGACTCAAGTGTAAGCTCTTTGGGGGCAGGGACTTTGCTCTGTCCACAGTGGGATGCTAAGCACTTTGAATAGTGCTAGGCACACGTAAAGTGAAAGTGAAAGTGTTAGTCACTCAGTCATGTCTGACTCTTTGTGACCCCATGGACTGTAGCCCACCAGGCTCTCCAGGCTAGGATAATGGAGTGGGTTGCCATTTCCTACTCCAGGGGATCTTCCCGATCTAGTGATCGAACCCACGTCTCTTGCATCTCTTGCAATGGCAGGTGGATGCTTTACCCCCATGCCATGTGGGGAGCCCAGGGAAACAAAAGATAAGAGTATTTTCATTGTATGTAAAGGAGATCCTGAAAGTGTGAGTTAGGACAACACTGGTAGAAATGCAGATGAGAAGGGAGTTGATTGCTAAGGAGGATCAGCAGGGCTTGATTGCAAATGGAATGGAGGAAAGGGCCTGGAAAGATGGAAAGATTGAGATGCTATTAACAGTTATGGAGGTTACAGGAGAGGAAATGTAAGGAACAGCTCCTCTCCTATGTCAACAAACTACAACCTATAGCTGTATACTCTAGGGATCCTCTGAGTAAAGAGAAGTGTGGTTGTTCACCAGTCTTACAAATGGAAACAGCCATTTGTCCTACTCCAGCCAGGAGTAACTTTGAGGGGGGCCCCTGAAACTCCTCAAGCCAGAGATGCCACCTCTCCTTGCTGGTCCCCAGGATGCGCACATCAGAAATTGATCACCATTTCTCAGTGAGCCGGTCTCAGGAGCTACAAGATCTGCTTGGTGCTGTTCTAAGCAACAGAAATCGACAAAGCCTGTTAGCCATCTGGATTCTATGTCTCTATAAAGATACTTAGATGACAACCAATTGCAATGGCAGTCATAGGAAAAAAAAAAAATAGGGCCTTAGACTATCTCAGCTTCAGTCCCTGTCCCTCCTTCTCAAGACTGGCTGTAACAAAACAAACATCCGTGAGGCCCATTTAATGTAACTGAAACATCTCACGTAATCTTGAAAATGTAGTTTCTTGAATTTTTTTTTGGTTCAACAAACACACATCACAAGCAGAATGCAATAATAAATGTCACTTCTTGGGTGATTCTGTGCACTAAGAGGCAAGAAGATGGAATCTGCTTCTATGGCAATGTTTCAAGTCAGTCCCAGGCTCTTCCCCGCCCTGGGCCCTTACACACAGAAGAGAATCCTGAGCACTGGAATAGACTATTTGACTGGGCTGAGGGGATGGTCACTAGGAAACATGGGGGTAGAGAAGAGGAATCCCTGCTCCCTGAGAAATCTGAAGCAGATTGAGAAATCAAGAGTTTACTGAGAGAACCTTTTTTCTTCAGTAAGAAAGCATGGACTCCCTTGGTAGTCCTGTGGTTGAGAATCTGCCTGGCCAATGCAAGGGACACAGGTTCGATCCTCGGTCCAGGAAAATTCCACATGCCATGGGGCAACTAAGCCCATGCGCCACAACTCTAGAGGTTGTGATCTGTAGCAAGAGAAGCCACCTCAATGACAAGCCAACACACTGCAACTAGAGAGTAGCCCCCACCTGCCACAACTAGAAAAAACTGCATAAAGCAATGAAGACCCAGTGCAGCCAAAACTTAATAATTAAAAAAAAAACTTGGCTCATCTTCTGGTAACACAATCTTCCCAAGGATGCCAAGTGAAAACCCTGTCCTGCATGATGCCGAAGCCCCATCCAGACCCATCAACTCTTAACAGACCCTGCAGCAATGTCCTCTAACAGCCTCCAGTCCCTTAAGAAGGCATGTGGACCCAGAGCCAAACCTGGGCACTTGGCTGTGACACTGAGCCAGTGCCACCTTGTTCACTGCCCGTGACTTCCCAGTATTCGTAAGAAAGAACTCATAGGTATGAGTAACAAATGGCGGGGGCTTTGATGGCCTCTTGGTTCAACCCCACCTCCAGGCTGCTGTGTGCAGGCTTTGTTTTGCTAACGAATGTCCCGTCTCGCTGGGGATGAAGTTTTTTCCTCTTGTCCATGGTCCACTGAAAAACCCAAGGATGAGGCTGTGGAGACTTGAATCAGGGGGTCTCAGGCCTAAGTACATTAGAAGCACCTGTGGGGTGTGATAAATTGCAGATCCTCCACTCTTCTGATTCAGAAATCTGGGGTCAGGCTGAGGATTAGTTATTATAACTATTCTCCTCAGGTAATTCTCATGCAGGGGGTCTGTGGACCAGAATTTGGAGGTTCTACACTTCTCTTTAGAAAAGCAGGCACAAGCCGTCACTGCCTGACCAGCTGCCCAGGGGAGTCTCTGCGGAGAGCTGCTGACCATGGCATCTGCTGCCTAATTGGCACTTGGCCTCTTAAACAATAAAATCTTTCAGAATATACCCATGGTGGTTGGCTTTTAAACTCGTCTGCTTAGGGCATGCAATTCATACAGTTCTGGCTGAAAATTTAGAATGTGGCTTTATTTATTTATTTTTTTTTTTAAATTAAACTTGAAAATAGTCTTTTTTAAAAAAATTGAAACCAATTATTTCTCAGTGACTTCACCAATGTTTTGGGGTACAGTATTGAGTATGAAGGACTACATGTAGACAGATGATACTTTGAGGCAAGATTATTCTTATGGAAGTAACAGCATTAGCTTCTAAGAAAAATGGGGGCACAGAAAAGGCAAGAACTTAAGCATGTAGCATCATTGTTCTTTGAGTCAAGATGGAGTTTCCATCCTTGTGGCCTCACAGATCAAAGCACCAGTCTTTGGCATATCAAAGAATAAGTCTAAGGCAAAGACTTAATATGCATTTGCTGAATGAATGAGCAATCTACTTTACATAAAATATCAAGAGAGCTAATTTTAAATCAGACATGTACTGTTTGCCTTCTAGGCATCCATTTCCATCTTTCCCACTCCAACCATATTCCAAAGTTTCCAGTCATGGATATTACATAGGAGTGAACCCTCTTGAGTTCCAACCATGTGTCCTGATTGGTTTAGGGCAGTTAGTGTACCCCAACTCTCTGACCAAAGTGATGTAGCCAGGGTTGGGGACTCACATCAAATAAGGCTGAGACACAATTTTTTTTTTTTTGTAATATTTGTTACTTTATGAATAATAGAAAGCACTGCTCTCCTGGGCACATTGACAATGGTAATCATATTAAATGCCCAGGAAAGCAATTATCAAACAAAATTTAATTGCCTTTAACACCAAAGCTGAATTTGAGTGCCAATAGTCTCTTTTTTAAAAAAAAACTGAATTTTGTATTGGATTACAGATGATTTAACAATGTTGTGATAGTTTCAGGTGGACAGCAAAGGGACTCAGACTGAAATGAATTCTAATACTTTTGTTTGAAGTAGACTATCTCTTTGCTAGTTGCTTCTAGATGAGAATGTGGTATCAAGTGCTATTGGGGTAGCTCTCTGAGGGTTATAAGAGAAAAGCCTACTAAGCATGGACCTAAACCTAGGAAAGCAGAACCAAGAAAGGAAGACATACGCACTGGGCTCCAATTATGTCTTTGAGTTGCTGGACCAAGTCATGCCTGAGGCCAGTGCCTTTCAACTTTTTGTTTATGGCAGTCAATGTGTTTAAGTGGAATATTCTGTTATTTGTATGAAAGAGCATTGCAATTAGCATTAAAACTTAAAAACAGCTTCTTAATGTGGGTCATTATGAAGTAGATTCATTTACCTTTAGGATAATGTTATAATTGGGACAAAAGCTTCATAATAAGACTCTAGTATCAAATAAGTCAATATTAAAACCAACAATAGGTGATGGATGAAAGAAAAGACACACCTATATACTTCTATAATCACTGTAAACAATCAATTTTTAAATCAAGTCCTATAATATGGCAAAAATGAACAGCATCCAACAAATGCATGAGAAATTTCAAAGTATCAAAAATCACTGGAGTTGAAAAATTAATTGTGTGATGGAAAATTATAGATTCCATAAATGATATGTTAATGAGTTTGAATCAACACCTAAAACTAATCTCTCAAAGGATGGTTTGTGAGTACTCCAAAGAGAAACACTTGGTATTTACCAACAGGTTATTTAAAAGCAAACAAATTTCATATTCTGATAAGGTTTATTGGATTTTCAGATATGGAAAATGCTATTGTTTTAGCATATTTGTATATTAACATGGACCTCATGAAGTTTTGCAAGGCCCTCAATTTCTTCTTATTTATATTTTAAGACCTACATGCAAATTTATCCTCTTCTAGAAAGTCTTCTGTAATCCCAGGAGGGAGAGGAGTAGTATATTGTGGCTTCAGTCCATTTGCATATTAATTGGTTTACATCTGTCTTTCTTTCTAAACTGTAAATTGGAGGAAAGCATGGACCACATTTTTAGCTACTGTTGACTCCTAGTGCTTCTCCTAATGCTTATAATGTATGTTTGCTAAAAGGCCAAATGAGTAGATGATAAACTTGACAATAAGAAGGAGTAGCATGAGTTGGCAATGAGTGTTAGATGAGCTTATAAGCAGTCCAATATCAAAACTCAAAGAATTAGTGGATTCAGGACAACCAAAGAGAATTCTTTCTCAGTAGTACCTGTGTTTTTGATCTTGTGTATGGCCCTGCTGATGGCATCCTCCCCTCAGAACTGCAGGGTGCAGTTCTGAATTACTGGAGACTCTCAAATAGAGCCTGGATGACTATTAGCTAAGTATAATAAAGAGGAACTTCATATATGTCATTAGATTTGTATTAAATGGCCTCAAACTGTCCCTTCTGTATATCTAAAGTTTTATGATTCCAGAGCAAAGTATACACACACACACACACACACACACATACACACACACACACACAACTTGGCTAGATCCAAAAAAATCACAACCAATACACTCTGGTAAAATTGATAGTATGAACATGTAATAAACAGCACCTTTTCTGGGCTTCCTAAGAACATAAAAGTGTTTTTAAGAGGTACCCTGGGTGTCCCAAGGTCTCTTGGAAAAGTGAAATGACTCTGAGCCAGTGCTATCTTCTCGCTTCAGTAAAGCTCTGTGGTGGCATTCAATCAACAAATACTTATTGCGTAGTTAAGGCATGCAAGGCTGTATGCAAGAAGGTGAGCAAGGAACAGTAAGTCATGCGACCCTCCCAGTGCCTCTCACTGCAGATATTTCGCTGATTTACTGTCAGAGCACTTCACACTCCATTAGGAAACAAACAAACAAAAACATCCAATTACTTAGTCATTAGCACTGCCTTTTAAAATAGAAGATCAGAATGCAGAACATTAGATTGGAAGGGTCCTTAGAGACCCAGCACAACCCCTCTATTTCACAGATGGAAGAACAGACTCATGTAATAAAGAACGAGGAGCCTCTCTATATGCTGACGTGGGAAGATCAAACCAAGGTATTTGTGAAGTGAAAAAAGCAAGTTGCAGGACACTGGGTACAGCATAAACCCATTTTTCACAGAAGGGACCAACCACAAAAATGCCTTAATATCAGGCATGTGTATTTTAAACACTTGGAAGGATGTGCTTTCCAAAATGGACAGTGGTCAGCGATTGGAAGGGAGGAGTGGAATATGGGGTGGGGATGCTGTGTGGTTTATGGGAAATTTTTACTCTCAGCTTTGTGTATTTTTCTAATGTTTGTCTTTTATGTAGCTTTGTTTTGCTTTTGTTACAGATACATACATACACGGGTATATGCATATGTGTGTGTCTATGTGTATGTATATACTTCTTTATGTACTTATGTATACAATTTTAAATAGAAAGAAAAAAATCGTGGAAACTTGCAGGCTGTGAGTCAGGTTTGCTTCTGGGTTCCTCTCTGAATGCCACTCTAATGCTTCCTGTAAAACCTCTGCCAAATTACTGAACCTCCTTGATCCGCGGTTCCTTTGTGTGTGAAATGGGGATAAGTGGTACCCGTTGCTGAGGGCTAAGATGGGATTTGGGGATTCAGGCACAGAGCTAGCATGGTAGCTGGTACACGGCAGGTCTCAATGGACAGAAGAAACAAGGGCAACATCAATAATGACAGAAATAATTATCCTTATCATTATTGTCTAGAAGCAAAGCTTGAACAAGAGCCTATTCTCCTGGGGTCTCCCCACACCATACCCCTCCCCTTTCTCACTGGAGAATTACTTAGGCGGGTGATACTAAGGAAAGAGAAAATGAGCTTGAGGTGATGACAAGTGCCTGCCTTCATGAGGGGAGTCAGATTGATGACTGATGATCAGATAATGAGCCCTGTTTCTAAGGAGTCACCCTTAGTGACCAAACATTATTCTTCCCTATCTGTTAATTTTTTGGTGGTAAATGTCATATGATATTAAGCTATAGGATAAACAGTCAAGAACATAATTCATGGAAGTCAACATACTTACCCTTGATGACCAGCTGTGGAAAAAAAGGAAGAAAGGAAACAAGGATGGAAGGAAAGAGGAAAGGAAAGGAGACAAGGAGTGCCCTGAAGAAAGTCAGAGAGTCAGAATATCCATCTTTTTTTTTTTTTAATCTAAGCATTCCTAAGTGAGTCATGGCAGCTGGCTCTCATGGGTCCTGGCCAGGGGAGAGGGCTCTTTCTATTTTCTCTGACCAATATATCTCTTTAGTAGAACAAGAAATTTGGATGTGCAGGGCTGTGATGAGAGAGTTTGTGTGTGCACTAAATCAACAGCAAAAATTGTTCAAAAGGCAGGCCTGCTAAAGATTTCTGAGGAGATTTTCATTTTAGATACTCACAGTATGATTTCCATATTGGAGGCTGGTATTCTTCAGCATCTAGAATAAAAAGAAAGAAATCAATCCGTCAGCTTGAACGTCAAACTGTCAACATGTGTCTTCTCTGGGGGAACAATACTCTGTCAGCAGGCCTTGCCTTCCAGTCCCAAGGGTCCTCTCGGCTCATTTACGGGACAGTTCCAGGCAAGAGGGAGGAATTGGGAAAGGCGACCCTTGTGGACCCAGCAGCGCTTTGTCCAGGTCACTTACCATGACCGAAGCAATTGCTTGACCATTTTCATACAGCCCAGTAAATCAAAAAGTTTTAAAGCAATTAATTTGATCATACCCTCTAGTAATCCTTTCAAACAGTATTTACTTAACTTGGCATAATAAACATATCATTTCTCTCACAGATTCTGATCAGACCTTTAGCCCATTTATTTAGACTTGAGGGCAAGACGCACAGTGGCAAGTATGTAATATTAAATCTGGGAAGTTGTACCACTCAGCCAACTGAACTCCTAAAATACTAGGTCTGACAGCAGAGACACTGATGATTCAATTGGAATCTCATCATGTCCTTGAATTTACTCCAGTGTGTGACTTAGGAAATTTCCAGAAAACCTCTCAGCAATCAGAAATGTCAGAGTGAAAGAGTTGCAACAAAATGGAGAGGGCGAAGCTGTTATTCGTCAAACTAGAAAGCAGACAATGGGAGAAAATCTGCTTCTTCAGTCAGCTCAACAATCCCAATGCTGACAGCTGATTTTATAATTCTGACGGAGTTATTAGAGTCCTCCTGAGCTCATAGGTAAGGTCTTGGTAAAACATACTCCAGCTTAAACAGCCAGAGGGAAAAATCCATTCCCTGACTCACAGAATATTGAGCTGGGGAACTTTTAAGAGTTCTCTTAGTTCAGCACTTTTCAATGAGGAAACTGTTTTTGTCATCTTGCATGTGTATGGCGTCACTCACCCAGCCTAATGTGCCCTTGTCCTTCTGTTGCTGACACATACTAAAATTTCATGCAAAGGAATAGAAATTTTCTAATCTCGTGCAATAAGACAGTTTGAGAACTTTTCCCCTCCTGAGAAACAAATATGCTTACTATACATAAAAAGAAACTGGAGTGGTGAAATTCCCCCAAATCTTACTCAATCACAGTTGTGTAGCTTAAATGAAATTCTTTCACAATTACTTACTCTCTGGGGCCCATCCTATCACAGAGGCAACTAAACACCTCCTAAGACAATTTCATACAAAAACATTGGGATAGTTAGGCTTACCTAGTCAGGAACCTCTCTATGGATAATCAGCCACATAGGCACACACACAAAACAGTGTGTTAATAACGGTTTATGTTGCTATTCAAACTTCATTTGCTAAAAAAAGTGAAACTCCTAATACTTTCATCAAAGTGGACAATGTAATAGTGAGCTTTTAACCTAAACAAGCAATTAATTTCATCCTATATGTTGTTGTTGCTTAGTCGCTAAGTCATATCTGACTCTTTCGAGACCCCATGGACTGTAGCCCTCCTGACTCCTCTGTTCATGGGATTTTTCAGGCAAGAATACTGGAGTGGGTTGTCATTTTCTTCTCCAGGGAATCTTGTAGACCCAGGGATGGAACCCATGTCTTCTGCATTGCAGGCGGATTCTTTACCACTGAGCCACCTGGGAAGCCCATCCTATATGTAACACAGACCAATTTTAATGGATTAATATGGTGTTTGTTTATAAAGAACTCTAAAATAAAATAAATCATATTGCTGAGTTTACAAGAAAGTTCTAGAACAATCCATACAATACTACCTCACCAGAAAAGCCAGGTCCTGTATGTTAAAACACTGATGACACCTTCAAAAATCTTTTTCAAAAGATAGAGAACCAACACACACACATACACATACACCAGGCTGCATAGTAGTAGGAATTCCTGAGATGTCATTTACCCAAAGATGTCTTTATTATTTTAGATGAGATTTACTCTATAAGCTAAGTAGAACCCCCAGACCAAGAAGTGGTCAAGAATACTCAGAACCGAAAAATGTATCTTTCTACATTCTGAGGGAAGTTCCCCTCAAAATAAGTAGTCTCCTTAATTCAGGTTTCAGATGCTCAACTTGGATCTCCTATAGGGCTTATCTGAAGTCAGAAGTTTGGATTAAATGGCCTCTCACTGCTCATTTCAGTCTTTCTCTGTGAAAAACCTAGAATTTTCATCTGAAATATTGGCTCCTAACCTTTAAACTTGCATTTAGGCTTCCCTACACATAAACAGTTTATCCCTTTTGGATTGCTCTTTGTCGGCAATGTCACATAGAGGTGAAGAAAGCTGTCCATAGAGGCCGGAGATCATAATGTTGCCTTGTTTAAAAATCCTCCATTGTCTCTCGTCTGCATTTGGAATAAAATACAAACATTATGGGTTTCCATGATGGCTCAACTGTTAAGAATCCACATGCAATGCAAGAGATACAGGAGATGTGGATTCGATCCCTGGGTCAGGAAGATCCCCTGGAGGAGGGCATGGCAACCTACTCCAGTATTCTTGCCTGGAGAATCCCAGGCAAGAGGAGCCTGGCAGGCTATATACAGACAGAGGAGCCTGGCAGGCTATATACGGTCTGTAGAGTCGCAAAGAGTCTGTCGCGACTGAGTGACTGAGCACATATACATACAAACATTATACTGTGGACTCCAGTCCTGCCCTCCTCTTCACTCCACTGCAGGCATTTCCCTGCTTTTCACGTATTATCCAACCATACTGGTCTTCTCTCTTTTCCCAGAACAAGCCAAGCCAAGGCAAGGCCCCTGGACTTTGCTCCTTGGGCCCTCCAAGAAGCAATTCTCCTCTAACAGACTTTTGCATGGCTGACTTGCTCTATCACATGGGGTTCAACTGAAATTTCACCTCCCAGGGGTCGTCTTTGCCAAGCTTATGTAAAACAGCCTTCTCCCACCCCCACTCTCCTGCATAGCACTTATTACCATCAGAAATTATTTATTGATTTGTTGGCTTGTTATTACTGCCCTCATCCCAGTATTAGCTAAACTCCACACAAGCAGGAATTTTGCCTCATTCACTGAGGCCTCACTGACCCTCAAGAAGGTTGCGTGACATATAATGGACATTAAAAAAGCCATGTGCTAAATAAATGAATGAATTCTCAGGGTTCAGACTGTACCTCTGACAACTACTGGCTGAATGACATGGAGCAGGTTATTCAACTTCTTTTCAGTTCAGCTCAGTTGCTCAGTTGTTTCCAACTCTTTGAGACCCCATAGACTGCATACGCCAGGCCTCTCTGTCCATCACCAACTCCCAGAGTTTACTCAAACTCATGTCCATCGAGTCAGTGATGCCATCCAACCATCTCATCCTCTGTCGTCCCCTTCTCCTCCCGCCTTCAATTTTTTCCCAGCACCAGGGTCTTTTCAAATGAGTCAGTTCTTTGCATTAGGTGGCCAAAGTATTGGAGTTTCAGCTTCAGCATCAGTCCTTCCAATGAATATTCAGCACTGAGCTCCTTTAGGATGGACTTGTTGGATCTCCTTTCAGTCCAAGGGACTCTCAAGAGTATTCTTCAACACCACAATTCAAAAGCATCAATTCTTTGGTGCTCAGCTTTCTTTATAGTCCAACTCTCACAACCATACCTGACTACTGGAAAAACCATAGCTTTGACTAGATGGACCTTTGTTGGTCTCTGCTTTTTAATAGGCTGTCTAGGTTGGTCATAACTTTTCTTCCAAGGAGCAAGCGTCTTTTAATTTCATGGCTGCAGTCACCATCTGCAGTGATTTTGAAGCCCAAAACAATAAAGTCTGTCACTGTTTCTACTGTTTCCCCATCTATTTGCCATGAAGTGATGGGAACAGATGCCATGATCTTAGTTTTCTGAACGCTGAGTATTAAGCCAGCTTCTTTTAAGAGCCTCCAATACTCATCTTTATTAAACCAAAAAATAAATGTACCTACCTTATAACTGATTGCTTGTGATTATTGTGACAATTAAATGAGATAATATATAGAAAGTTCTTGGGGCAGAGCCTGGTAAATAGCAAGTTCTCCGTGAAGCCCCACTAATGCTGTTTGTGTTGTCATGGTTACATCACCCTGTCCTGCTTCTTCCCAGGTAAACACAGGCTCATGTCTTCTCTCCCTTGGCTACAGTCAGTAACTATCTGTATTCTTGCCCCTAGATCTGGAGGCTGTAATTAAGCTCCAGTGCTGTTGTCATGGAAGGTTTTTCTTTCTCATAAAAGAATCCAAAGTGAGAGGCCATTTTTCATGCTTCAGTGGAGCAACTATAATTACCTTGGTCTTAGAGATTCATTTCACAAGCCACTAAGTGCACTGTTAGGAGGTTTTCGTCAAGCAACAAGGCACAAAATATTTCTAATATGTTGAAACAAATCTTTAGCTGCCTTCAACACTGTCCCACCAACATCACATTTGCCCCAATTTCACACAGTATTTCTTTTTTAAATCTGCCATATTCTTAAATAGCCTGATACCGTATATTTTTTAAAAACTGGAATAGGTTTTCTAGGTCATTGAGTTCACCTTCCTCATTTGGCAAATGAGGAAAATGAAATGAGAATGATGAAGTAGCTTTCTCAAGGTCATAAAATAAGTGAGAGGAAGAGGTGGGATTAGAGCAGGGAGCTCTGCCCTCCAGCCTCTGACACATTGTCATCCTTGCCAGGAAATCCACCCTAATTTACATAAACTGACAGCAAGAAAAAAAATTATATAACAGACTTGATCCGGCAATTCTTGTGAATCTCCGAAGAAAAAATAGAAAGAAAAGCAGTCATATGAGTCAGACAGAAAAAGACAAATATCATATGATATCACTTACATGTGGAATCTATTAAAATGATACAAATGAACTTATTTACAAAACAGAAACAGACTCACAGACTTACTTAAAAACAAGCTTATGGTTATTAAAGGAGAAAGGTGAGGGGGGAAGGATAAATTTTAGGATATTGGAATTAACATACATAGTATGAATTAATATACATACTATTGTACATAAAATAGA